ATAAGATGCTTCCAGTCACTGTTGCATGTAGGTAATGTCTTTTCTCTAATCAAGAAAAAGCCAATTTACCCATTTCAGAAAAATGTATCAGTTTCACCAGTCTTCCATAGTGGATTGTGTCAAACTTTACATCTCTGTGAACTTCTGACTTCAGTTGAATGACTTCTATTTATCTTTGTCCTTTATTTTCTGGACAGCAGGGAACGCTTACAAATAATCTGGCCTTCTCTGCAATTTTACAAAGGCAATTGAATTTGGTTTTTCCAGAAGGCTTTTGGAAACAGATGTATTGTAAATTCTGTCCCCTTGGAATATGATACTTTTGTTTGAATTGAATTCATATACCTGCCCCTGACACAGGAGTGCAAAGTTACTTTTTGATTTTTTATGCAAATATTTAATCTTAATTTGGTTGCTCAGAGTTGCAATGGCATGTACATTTCATAAAACAAAAATATTTCTATTTATTTAAGTATAAAATGTCAGGTTGAATTTGGCAGAATTTGGAACCCGTCGGGAACCCAAATATTCATGAGCATATTAAGTATGCTTGTATCAGATGAAAGCGTATTGAAACTTTCCATTATAATACTGCTGGCACTTGGATTACACCTTGACTGAAAAACAAACAAAACAGCTTTGCTGAATCAGATCAAAGTCTTGCCTAGTCTAGCATCCACTTACATACAATTTTGTTTACTTACTTTGGATGATATGGAAGCAAAGCCTTAAGTACCAGCTTCCTCCTACTGTTCCTTCCAGTAACAGGTAATTCAGAGGCAGTTCCTGAAAGTAGAGGCAGCATATATCTATGGTAATAAGCAATAGCCAATAATTCTCCATTAATCTGTTGATTCTGTTTTAAAGCCTTTTACCCCTAGTGGCCATCCACATGTCTTTTATTGCTATAGCGACTTCTCAGTATTAATTCTACAGAAAAACGCTTCCCCCCCTCCACTCTTTGTCCTGACTCTTTTGCCAAACAGCTTTATTGGCAACCCCCTGTTTCTAGTGTTTGCTCTGCTGTAAGTATAACACAGAGATGAGCAACCTATACCCTAGAATTGCACTCACAGACACAGACACAAACACAAACACAGACAAAGGCACAGACACATACACACCCACACCCGCAGTGTATTTTAGAAGTTTCACTGATCACTTTTCCTGAACATCAGTTGCAGGTTTCCAGCTATTTGGAGATGGCAAATGCACAAATGTTGCAATGGAATCCATGAAAAGGGCTTAGCATGGAGACAGAGATGGAGAAGGGAATTCTAATATTATCATCTTGAGAATAGGTTGAGAAATTTTTTTCTGTTGCACTGAAAATAGTTGGAAGTCGCTGGTTTTTTCCTTTTCCTTTTTACCTTGTACCCTCTTTCCCTTTCTTTCTGATCTTTATTTTCATTTACAGTATAAAAATGAGATAATAAACTATAATAAAAATATAAAAAAGAGAGAACTCTGCAAGGGTGAAATCATTATGGAGTCTAGCCTATTGGGCTGGGAAGCTCAGTTTCTCAGTCACTCATCTCATGGGATCCAATCCAAGGTGAAGTTATGCACATCAATGAATTGGACACAAAGACAGAATAGCTAGCTTTGCAAGCCTTTGTGCCACAATAAAAGGGCACCATGCTCAGATTTTGGCAGAGTCTCCATAAAAGCACACTTGACCAATTAGTGGGGAACAAGGTCAAAAGGGGGCATCGAAAGATATTTTAATGTATTTTTAATGTAGGCTTCAATGTCATTAAATAAAGAATCAAGACAAGGTAATTCAGAGTAAATCTTTTGCTAAATATTGTAAGTGTTAGTAGTCAGAGACAAGTAAACTCCAGAAATTTTCTCACAGTTAATATATGTGTTCATATATATTATTCATATAATTTATCTCTCTCCCCCCCAAAAAAGTATACTGTATACTTTTTGGGGGGAGAGAGAGATTTGAAATTGACTACAGGTAGGCCTCGATGTACAACAGTTCATTTAGCGACCGTTCAACGTTACAGTGGCACTGAAAAACTGATTTATGACCAGTTTTTACATTTATGACTATTGCAGCATCTCCATGGTCACGTGATCAAAATTCAGATGATTGGCAATAGACTCATATTTATGACGGCTGCAGTGTCCTAAGGTCACATAATCCTCTTTTGCGACCTTCTGACAAGCAAAGTCAATGGGTAAGCAAGGTACACTTAACAACCGTATTACTAACTTAACAACTGCAGTGATTCGTCTAACAATTGTGGCAAGAAAAATTGTAAAATGGAGCAAAATTAACTGAAAAAATGTTTCACTTACCAACATGGGCTCAATTGTGGCTATAAGTCAAGAACCATCTGTACACTGCTACTAAATATCTCCTGAGAAGAGGTAGGGAGTTCATTATTATTGGTGTTGAGGCCTACACTTGAGCTTCCCAAGACTCTCCAAGGAGACCCACAATTTGTTCTGATATTGAAAAAGTTCTTGTCACAGCTTTTTTTGCCACCTATATACTGTAATTCTGGGGAAAAAAGGATGCCATATAGAAGAAGAAAAGGCAAAACAAAAAACAACAACCCCAGTGAGTGGGTGGGAGGAGAGAGAAGAGAGAGGAAGGCACAGAAATATCATGGTATCTTTTAGAACATAGACCATTGTCCCTATTCTGAGATCTTACTTAGCTCTGAGTTGTTGAGATGGAACTCAGCCTTCTTTGTAATTGAAAACTCTTGCTGTTGTTTAAGTAGAAAGTTATAGCAAAGGTAGACATTAAAAGATATTTTGAGCAATTATTCCCACAATCTCTGAATATTGGCATTCTGTCTGACCTGATGGGAATAGAAATCCAAAATAAATAAATAAATAAGGGAGAAAAACAGACTTATACACCACTTCATAGTGCTTTATAGCTCTCTCTAAGTGATTTACAGAGTCAGTATATTGCCCCCAACAATCTGGGTTCTCATTTTACTGGCCTTGGAAGGATGGAAGGCTGAGTCAACCTTGAGTCGATGAGACTCGAACTGCCAAATATTCTTCTTTTTCCTCTGTGGTAACAGATTATGTAAAACATGTCTTGCATAACTGAGGAAAACACAACTCTGCTGGCAATTATTACATGGTTGGAAAATTAACTCAGTCACAAGACTCGTAGGAAAGTTTGCATTTGTAACAAAAAAAGGTCATTCTGAATGTTAAGCAAGTCAAATAATTATTTTTTTAAAAGAACATTTGGCCTAATTCAGAGGCTGGATCAAAACTAATTGGTCATTGCCCTAGAGCACAGTAAGGCAGATGTCAAAGCTGGTAGAATCAAGAAAGATGCTATTTACATCTTTTTTCTCTTTCAGTGGGAACTGATGCCCTTTGACTAAATTCACTTCATGGATGCTTTGTGCACTGGTTCCCAAGAGTTTTATGTTAAAATTGAGAGATGGGAAATTTGATTGCTTTGATAGATTTGTTTGGAAATTTGTTTGGAAACCTGAAGAACAGGTGGACAACACAAATAGCCCATTTGTCAGGACTGGAAGTTCCCATTTTTTCAAATTACGTATGATACTTCTTTGCAGCCATACTCAAAACTTTAAAATTACATTGGCTAAAGTTGGTGATCCTGTGGTTGTGACTTCTGTATTTGAATAAAGATTAATCACTTCATATGGCTTGTAGAAATATAGGTAATATGACTTGGAATAATATTTATTTACTAGCACTTTTATTGGTCAATGACTGAAATAATTTTTTTGGCTAGTAAGTCTTGTTTCCAACTCGTGTTTCCAACTCAGTTTCTGCATGCTGCACTTAAGTGAGTGATTAAATAGATTTCTTAGTTCAGCTTGTGTAGTTTCCATTCCAGTGTATATATCCCCAGCACTTCTGAAATATTGAATGATGAGCTAATGATAATGTTTTTCTTTCTTTGACTCTTTTCATACTTTGTTTTTTTTCACCTGAATGACTGTTTTGTTTTATTTTCTTATCTGATTCCTTCTTATCTGATCCCCCTCCATTAATGAAATTAATCCATCTGAGATATACCTATAACCTAAAATTCTTCTTGCAGCCTTAAGAAATCCATTTAGTGCATCCATCGTGTAGACCATAAATAACTTATCATACACTTATAATAAACCATACTTCTGAAGCACTTTTTGCATAATTCAGATACTTCATGCTTATAGTCAAACTTTAATATAATAGATCACTATTTTAATAACTATGAAGGTATGCAGTGGCTTTAGTCTTCAAAAGAAAATTGTATCTGGTTCTTCTGAGCTGCAGAACTGGCATATACCCGTTTGCCTGGGCTGGCACAATGAGTATTTAACCCACCCATGGCGTTAAAGAGATACAGAAATACTTAAACTTTGTTTCTATCTAGGATTCGTCTGAGTGCAAACTTTCAGCCTCCCCCCTTTTCCCAAGGGAACCTGATATGCCTGGCTCAGACATCATCACAGATATGCTTCCTTGAAGGCAGCTATTAACATTCACTGATGACAAATGTTGATGACAAGAAGGAAGAGCTAATAAAGGAAAATTGAGTCTGAAAGAGAGGGTTGATGGAAACACGACAGAAAGCAACCTCCATAGTTTTTAAAGAGAGAGGGGGGTACCATCAGACTTGCATAATTCTGTTAAAATAACCAATAATAATACATCGCTAATGGGATTTTTATATATTTTTTATACCTGAGTTTTTTAATATGTAATTTTACCTATTTGTTTTGAGCCACTCAGAGTCACTTCGGTGAAATGAGCAACTCTATACATTTGATAAATAAATAAACAAATAAACAAACAAATAAAAAAAACTTGCAAAAAAGTTAGAGTTAGTACTCTCAATCGTGTTGATCTGCACTAAGGTTAACAGAAACCTAATTCGTAGCATTGCTGTTGTAATCAATGAAAATGAAATAAGAATTACAAACGTCTTTGCAGTTTTCCAAATGATTTAGAAATCCTTTATAATGCTTCCCCTCCCCCCCATTTTTTCATTGCAGGAAGGAAAATGTCTCTATGTCATTTTGGTGATGGCTATATATTGGTGCACCGAAGCTCTGCCTTTATCAGTGACTGCTCTTCTCCCTATAATTCTATTTCCTTTCCTTGGAATTCTCCCAGCCAACAAAGTATGTCCCCAATACTTTTTAGACACCAACTTCCTCTTTTTGAGTGGCTTGACCATGGCGGCCGCCATTGAAGAGTGGAATCTACATCGTAGAATTGCATTAAGAATCCTTATGTTAGTGGGAGTCCAACCAGCCAGGTAAGTAACTACAGAAACAACTAAAACTAGAGTTTAGCTGTGACCAAAATAAGAAAAAAAGGAGTGGGCTAACATTACACTTATCATGGTGATCTATCATATAGCAGAAATGTGTGGATCCCAGATACATATTATTTGTTATATTTATTTCCTATCTTTTCTCCAGGAACAAAAGACAACATAAGGTTGTCTCTGTTTCCACTGCCTCCCTCCCTCCAACATCAGTGCTGTGATATAGGTTGCACACAATCATGCAGTAACTTTGCCTCCTCTAACTCAGGTTTTCTTAGTTCTAGCCTAACACCATTATACCACTTTTTGTAAACATATCAAGTTTGGATTTAGTCAGGCTCTTTTGTACTTGTTGAGTTTGGAAGATGAACAGCAATAGCAATAGCAATAGCACTTAGTCTTATATACTGCTTGGTTGTGCTTTACAGACCTCTCTAAGCAGTTTATAGAGTCAACATATTGCCTCCAATAACTTAGGTCCTCATTTTACCAACCTTGGAAGGATGGAAGACTGAGTCAACCTTGAGCCGACCAGGATCAAGCTCCAGGCTATGGGCTGAGTTAGCCTGCAATACTGCATTCTAACCACTGTGCCACCATGGCTCCTGTAAATTTGTTTAAAAAGACTTTATAGTATTTGCAAATAAGCTGGTATGTTATGGTATGGTGTAGTGTGGTGTGTGGTATGTGGTGTGGTGTGGTGTGGTATGTGATGTGATGTGGTATGATATGGTATATGATATGGTATGGGGTAATGTTATAGTATGGTATGGTATGGTATGGTATGGTATGGTATGGTATGGTATGCCCTGACAGCTGTAGGTGGCTTCCCACATAGGAAAATACAATAAAAAATAAACAGAACAACTTGAAAGACTATGATAATATAGCCTTACAATAAAGTAGAATTACTTCATCTGATTGTGTCCCCTGTCTGGTTTACCTGGGAGAACTGGCATCAGTCTTGCAAATCTGAAAGTACAGAATTCCCACCATCTCCTTTAACTGTTTGGGCCATAGGATGGGTCCTTCTTAGGTTTCTTTCTCCGATCGCTAAGTCATTGGGAACTCCTGCCTCTCTTACCTGATTATTTCCTAGGCAGCATCTCTTGCCCTCTTCCCCAAGATCAGCCATATGTTCCCTTACATTTTGAGGCTCAGATTTACTTCTTTGTGATTTCATTTAGAAGTATCTATGATTGTATCCCACTTACACTTACTTTGGAGTTTCCTGGTAGAAAGAACTTCTAAGTAAACATCCCTAAAATTATACCATTCAATCAGGAGAGGGCTTCAAAAATTTTAGCAACAGGTTCTCTGCCTGATTTCTGGGTGGGTGTGGCCATGGTGGGCGTGGCCTAGCTGGCCTCCTGCACCATGGTGGGTTGGAACATTTTTGGCCTTCCTGGGCTCCAGAGGCTCTGGAAGCTAGAAATGGGCCCATTTCTGGCCTTCCTGAATTTCTGGGAGGCTCGTTTTTCACCTTCCCCAAGCCTTCGCACTCACCCTGCACTTACCTGCATCCAAAATGGTGGGGACTCCTGGGAGGGGTGGGGCAGAAACTGTGCAGAATCTTAGCTAGAGGCTCTCCTGAACCCCTGCAATCCCCCAGCAGCCCACCCCTGCATTCAACTGTCCCCTGCCTCTGGAATATTCTCCCTTCAGATTTCAGGATGACTCTGGCCCTGTTGGCCTTTCACAAGGCTGCAAAGTCTTGGTTGTGTGCCCAGGCCTGGATCCTCGAGTCTGTTAAGGTCCCCATTTCCTGGTTGTAATAAAACCCATAGTAACTACTTTATTTGGTGCCATATGTATTTATTTTGTACAGTTTAGCTGGTTTCAATTGTTATTATGTCATTAAACCTGTTCAACATATTTTATGGATGTAGCTGTCACCTTGACAACAGGACAAGGTGTTTCCATTCTTGTAGGTTTCATTTTGTGCTGCATTTTAATTCTTGTAAAAAAAAGTCAGAGCGCCAGCCTGTTCAGGTGGTTAAAACATCAGCAGATTGTGAGTTCTAGTCCTATCTGGCAAAAAGCTAGGTGAGTGAGCTTGGACCAGTCATTCTCTCTCAGCCATGGGAATGAGGCAATGGCAAACCACTCCAAAAATTATTGCCAAAAAACTTGCAGAGACTAGTGTAGGCAATTGCCAAGAGTCAGAAAGTAAAATAAAGGCATTTTTGAGTCAATCTTAGCTCCTGGTGACTACATAAATTGCTGCCAATACAAAAGTGCTTTGTCATTGACCTTTTTTAGGGTCCTCCCCTCCAATTTTTCAACCTATTCAATCATCCTGTGGTTTTTTGTATTATTATCCTAATATAAAGTAGGTCTGTCCCAGCTCAGGTTTTTTGAGATCAGCCAATGTGGGCTAATGTTAACATTTGGTGGGTTTTTAAAACATTTGGCTGGTTTTAAAATCATTTTCCTGTTAATCCCTTATAATTCGTGTTGTGCTTTGGCTCAGTTTTGCTTACCCACAGTCAGAACAGAGAGAAGGTGATCTTGATGGAGTGAATGAATGCAGCAAGCAGATAAACATTGTGGAAGCCCAAATGTGGCAGAGGAGATCTGAAAATATCTCAGACAAACAATCTTTCGTGTGCATTCACACGAACCTAAAAAAGATAGGAGGAGAAGCACATTCAGACTTGCAAGGTTCTGTTGCAAGCCATTCTTAACAAAAGTAAGTTTTAGGCACACCTGGCATCTGTTTCTGCGTCTGCCTATCTGGTAAGACTGACAGTAAGGCACCAAATTGGTATGTGCTAGTAGGTGATATTGCACTGTACTGATTAATCTAGAATGATGTCACCATGGAATTTTCTCAACTGAAATGAAAAAAAAAAGATTCTATAAGATCCTGAATTTTAGTCTCCTCTTCTCTTCTCTTCTCTTCTCTTCTCTTCTCTTCTCTTCTCTTCT